CGACTGCAGCTGCCTCCCCTAGAAATATGCCAAGGGGTCACACATTCTACTGTTCAGAGGATAATTCTCCCTTCAAAAGGGATAGTCCTCTACATATAAGGTATCCTCTATTTCACTGGTGAGCAGTTTCTGAGGACCCAGGACCCATTTTTTTTATCCCCCATTTCACCTTTGTAGGCTGCACCTCATCCAGTCCTTCTGATCATATTCTATTTAAGAATTCATCCCTAAAATGGAAGGAGGAAACCTGTGGGTGTGCAATTTGCTCTCTAACTTCCCAGGTGTTTTTAGGCCAGAAAATGTGCTTTTTAGAAACAGGGAGCATTAGCTGGGGTGCACAATTTGCCCTCCTGGAGACTAATCTGGACTTTATGTCAGAAGCATCACAGTACTGTACAAGTAATAAATGTGTCAGATAGTATTCTTCCAATAACAGGCAACACCAAGAGCATCTGGGGCAGCTAACATCAGGCCTTCCATAACACATGTTGAGGGGCACAAACTATACTGACAAAGGTGTGAAGTTGCCTGTTCTTTTTCACACTCACAAAGAACTGTATTAGTACAAAAGCCCCATTTTCTTTGGCTCACTTTATTTCTGAGAACTCCAGTCCGTGACTGCCAAGTAACCAAGTTCCCAAGGCTAGAATTCTGTGGGGTTCCATGGATTTTGGGAGGTGGGTAATTCTTTCAGGGGGATACAGAAGGAGCCTCCCCAAAGAAAGTGAACACATTTGGGTGTCCCCAGACAATGACACTACTTGTTGGCTAATCCTTCCACTCCCAAAGCACTGGTGTAAAGTTGTAGAAACACACTATGTGACCAATCTGGAAGGTGGGTGTGGGTTGGTTTATGAGGGCCCTGTAGGACTGGACTGGGGGCCTTTGGGAGCTGCATGGGCCCTATTGGACTGCCCTTTGCTGACTCATACTCTGTCTCTGACCACTTCTAAACTTGGTATAAAGTTAAAGAGCCACGAGAAGGGAGAGCACCACTATGTCATGATCTACAGGATATTTTAGACAATGCTGTTTTATGCATTATGCAGTGTACAGTTTACACTGTACAGTTATAGCAGTTCCTCACCATTTTAAACTACTTTGGTCCTGTCTTAATGAATCCTGAGAATTATCACATGATGAGTTGTCTGGAAATGTTTATTAAAGAAATCTAGTGCATTTCCTTGAACTACAGCAGAGACTTCTAAGCACCTGACCTGACAACAAATCCCAGGGTTCCATAGGATGGGCCCATAGTAGTTAAAGTGACGCCAAACTGAAACAACAGTGAAGGGTCTATTAGTACTATACCTATGGCTAACCTTACCATTAGGAAGAGAGAGACAACAAGTGAGCATTGTCACTGCAAGGATGTTTTCTGTTCCTTATTCTGCCTAATTAATTGTAGGATTCCTCTTCATCAGAATGGATGGATGTGACATTTCAGACACATAATTTGCACGTGGGAGCACCAGGACATCATCTGCATTGGCACTCTCACCCTCTGTTTTTTTTTTCCTCATTGCTCCTTTTATAAATCTCACAAAAAAAGGGGGGGGGGAGGAAACAAGTTCTCTATAATACATCATTGTGAGCAACCCTTATCATTATGCAAACTATGTAGGCCTGGCTTGGTCTTAAGTGTGCATTTAAGATCCTTAGCTTTACAGATTACCTGCTTCTAATGGAGATTAGAACTGCCAGAACTAGTATGCGGATATAGATCCATGTAGTTGCCAGCATTCTGGGATTCTCTCTAGGGCCTTGGCTCCTAGTCATAGGTGAAAAGGGGCATATAAATAAAACAAACACATAATCTCAATCTAAATAATGGGAACTTGTATTCCATGTCCATCCAATGTGTAGCCTTGTAAACCACCCAGAGAGTGCTTGAAGTACTATGGGGCAGTATATAAGCAGGATGCTTTGCTTTGCTTTTTTTACTACTATACCATTGCTGATTTGAACATAATTTTTTTCCCTATACAAGGCATGTAGACAGGAGATACTATAATGTATAATCTGTGATTATGGCACTATGCAAAAGCTTTTACTCAGCAAGTAAGTAGCCCTGTCCATCATCCTATACATTCTGAAATCCTACCAATGGAACAGAATCTGGTGTACTGTAGTAATATGGCCCATCACACTTTAAATTACAGATACTTAATACTCTTTGACATACACAATTGCCTGGAAATAGATAACTTGCCTACTAGGGACTGTTTGTGAAAAACAGCAACTGCCAGCTTCCTACAATCACTGTGGAAACAGCATTTTTTCTTAAATGCATTGTTTCAGCGAGGAAAGTAGCATTCACCACATCACAGGGGGGCAGAATTTTCTGGCTTTCTGAGCTATTCAGCTTTATGAATGGCAGAAGGTAATGTTGTTAGCACATTCTTCTGGAATCAGCTGCTAGCTCAGGGTTTTATTAGAAGTCCCGTGACTCACAGGAATTGCAGCATAAAACATTTGGAGCCAGTATTTTATGTAAGGATTGTTCCATTAAAGAAAGGAAGGCATAATGTGCCCCAATAAAAGAGGATTCATCATACGATGTTGAGGACAGCTGCTGGACATCCAAAAGCCACCTCCTTACTGGAAGGCAACAGAAAGGGAGAGTAGAATAAAAACACATGGGAACAGCAACCAAAGGTTGCACCATGGTGTGCTCTCTAACATTCCTTTCCATTGCCTTCCCCATCCAGTCTCATTCCCTTCTCAACAGTCCACCTGTATCCTGGATGCTACCAAGCCATTGGGCAACCAGCTAGCTTTAGCCATAGAGGGCAGGCCCTGTGTGACACACCCTGCTCTGTTCTCCGACAGGGGAGAAGGCCCAGAAGGCACAAGTGGAACAACGGAGAGCAGCTGCAGCTGTCCCCCAATATTTGCTGCCCGAGGATGTGACCTCACCCGAACTAATGGTCAAGCTGGCCCTGAAAGTAAGTGCAAAAACATTCACCTTTTCATTGTTATATTTTCTATTATCAAGGAGTATAAACTCCCAAGCCAACTACACCAGAGCACAGAGTGCTGTCCTCTGAAGATGCCGGCCACAGAGACTGGCGAAATGTCAGGAAGAACAACCTTCAGAACATGGCCAAAGAGCCCGAAAAACCCACAACAACCATTATAAACTCCAATCTTTATTAAATTGTCTATGTTGATGAAGAACACCACGAAAAGGGAGGAAAAGCTTTACATTGTCTAAGGGTATATGAAAGACTTGTGTCACCTTGACATGGGTGCTGGCTTAAGTGACTGGGCATTATGTGAGTAAGGATGAGATTGGTTACTGCATGCAAGCAACCATGTTACTACCTCAGGTTTCTCATCCCACCGCTTCAGAATAAAATAATAACTTTTGTCTATAACTCCCTGACAGAGATGGGGACACGTGATTTTGAGGGATTTTCTGTCTCCTCTGCCAAAATATTTTTTCCTGGCTCTGAGTACTACAAACCTTGACTTGAATGGGTGGCGATCTTGTCGCTCTGCCTCTGGCATCAAAATGTCATGGGCCAGACTTGTTTCCACATGCAAAGCTTTTTCTATTTATTTCTCTCTAGGAACATGCTGAGAACATCCTGCACTCTACCTGAGGCATTTCCTGGCTCATTAAGAGAGCAGCTTGTAGATGGAAGAAATCAGATCCCCTGCCGCCATACTCACTTGTTAGAACTAGAAGGATCCCAGCAGTGCTTCCAGATACTCAAGCATTAGGCTTTGCATGTTTTCAGAAAGGGATGTTTTCCAGGAATCAGATGTCCAAAAAGAACATATGTAACATTTTTCATCGGTATTGATTGCAATTGTTCCCCAGAGAGAGACAGAGAGACAGAGACAGTAATAATTATGCTGTTAGAAGATGAAAATGTGAAAAACACTGCATAAAAACAGATGCACACACACCACTTCAAAGAAATGAATCTGTGCCACTTACAAGCAGCAGACAATAGAGGGTGCTGTCTACATAGCAAAAAGCCAAGCCAGCTAAAATAGTATAGGCATGAGAATTTTGTTTGTTTGACAAATTTGCCACAATTTGCCAGTTTCCTCATATAGAAGATAGAAAGAACATGTAATTATTTTTTAAGTCAAGTATGGGAGAAACCAAAATTGACAGGTCTGTCAAAACCTGAGTTTTGAAAGTCTGGCTTTGAATGTCTTTGTGTTCAGCCATATGGCTGTAATTTCTTTCTTTCTTTTTCTTTTCTTCATCATCTTCTTCTCTCTTTTTGGAAGGTACATAGTACAATATGGTCTTCTCCCTGCTGGGAATGACTGTGCCTGTTGATTTTGGTTGGTGCAGATGGAGGAGTTTAGTTGAAGCTCATTTTTTAAAGGATTTGGCACAATTTGCAGGTTTTCTGACATTTGAGATGAAAAGAACTTGAGCTTTAAAACATTCAAATGCAAGAGAAAGGAAGCTTGATGGATTTCCCTAGGGATTCATCTCATGAAATAAAGAAACTTGCTCCAAATTCAACAGCCCCACCCATGATAAAGCACCTGCAACTTCAGTCATACAAATTGCACTTTAAAGAAAAATGTATGTTTGCTGTGGAACACAGAAAAACTATAGCAGCCAATTCAGCTGACAAGTAATGTAGCACAAAACAACAGGGTGAATATTGAGGAAGAAATAAAAAGGAAATATAGTTCTGGCCAGTATTGACCTGAAACCTTTCCAATTCTTCCTCTTAAACATCAATAATTTTGCAGTTCAAAGCTTGGAAAATAATTTTTTTTAAAAAATTAGAGCTCTCAGAATCCTTCAGCTAGCACCACCGTTTATATTTCAAAAAGAGTTACTTTCATAAGCTCTGTTCCAGATAGCTGTAGCAGTTGAGAGGCAACCATTTTTAGCATCATCGTCTTAAACAACCGGCTACAGTTTCCTTTCGAAGAACAGAAGCCAAGGCAGAGAAAAACAAAACGAAGGGTTGTAGGCTGAAGAGTATCCTGTTGCAGGGCGATACGGGAGATCATTCTCCTGGGCAGGATGCTATGGGAACAGTCCCCAGGGTTGGATCTCAGCAGTAACACCGCTGCATGCAGGTGCTGAGTAGGTACGTGATAATTATCTTGTCTCATTGAAATGGCTCAAAAATATTTCTCAATGTACTGTGCAAAGAGAGTGGGATTAACTGCAGAACTGGGAGACTCTGAAGAGGCTAAGAGTTCCTAGACTAGGTCTATTGCTTTGGTGAAAGGCGGTGACTAGAGAAGACAAAGAACAATGTTGTGCTGGTGTTCTGAGAAAGAGAGCTCCTGTAGAGATTATTGGCCATCAGCACTACCACTTGTAGATCCCAGATATTGACTGATTGATTTGCTTGATTCAGTGACTCTTCACTAGCCCAAAAGGTAATGAATAGACAATACCTGCAATATGTGCTCTCTGCTGTTTATCTATTGGTTTTACTATCTAAAAGGTAAAGGTTCCCCTTGACAATTTGTCCAGTCGTGGCCGACTCTAGAGGATGGTGCTCATCTCCATTTCCAACCCATAGAGCTAGCGTTTGTCCGAAGACAATCTTACGTGGCCACGTGGCCAGCGCAACTAGACACCGAATGCCGTTACCTTCCCACGATGGTGGTACCTATTTATTTACTCGCATTTTTGCATTTTGCATGCTTTCGAACCACTAGGTTGGCAGGAGCTGGGACAAGTGACAGGGCCTCATTCCGTCGTGTGGATTCGATCTTACGACTGCAGGTCTTCTGACCTTGCAGCACAGAGGCCTCTGCGGTTTAACCCGCAGCGCCACCACATCCCCTTTTACTATCTATAGGATAGTAAAAAAAATATTCCTCTGCATATAATCTTGAAATACAGCATAGAAATTCTAATAAACCTGTGCATAAATCAACAGTTAGATTATTTTGAGACAGGCCATTTTTAAAAAGCTTACATTTGCACTCACAGACTGCTATTGAGAAAAGTACTCAAGAGTTTAGAGAAATGGCTTTTTGGACTACAGGATCCATAATTCTGCAGCCAGCATGGGTATTTCCATGGTGACTGGAGATTATAAGAGCTGTAAACCAGCCTCTTTCCCAACCTTTGCATTTAATTGGGAATAAACCTCACTAGAGTTTATTTATGCGGGAACATACATCAATGGAAACATAAGAGAGTGACAAACTTACCACGAGCACCAACCTGAAGCCACCAATTTGCTCATGGTAATAGCCATAAAAACCTTTTAAAATGCTTCCTTTGAATAAGTTATCACTGCCAATAATTTACAAGTCTGTCTTAATAATATTGACTATTCACATGAATTATGCACAAAAATACATTTTCTTAGAGCTCTTTTAGAAACAGGATACTTCTTCCATGTCACTTCAGATTGCATGGTTCATAATTAGGATAATCAATCTTGATCTGAATGTTTAAAGGATCCTTGTGATGAATTTCGAGAGTGGGTTTCAAAAGATGTGTGTCTGAATTGTGTCTCAAGGACTGTTGCTTAGCTTACAAATTGTTACAAGGATGAGGCAGGGAAGGGCCAAATATGCTTTTCCAATTTACTTTGAGGAAGGGCAACATATACAAATATTTTAAATAATCTGAAATTCACATTTGTTAAGCTAAAGGTAAACCGTAGTCATCCTACCTAAACCTCGCACTAGCTTTAATAAAATCCTTGGTTGACTTCTGTATGTACACTATTCTTAGTTTTAAAATTATATATTAATATTCTGTTTCTCTCCCAATCTCATTTTATATTTGGGGGACCAACGCCGTTCTTGGTGAGGAGCGATGTTAGATTCTTATTTTTTGAAGGAGCTGGAAGATGAACAGGTACAGTTTTGTTTATTTTCATCTGTTTGTTGCCTTAGTTGGATCCTGATCCTGCCCCTGCCTGCTTGATGAACCTTCAGCATGTTGTTGCACTGATGTAATAATGGAGGTTAAGGGAGATGTAGAGGAAGGGAAAGGAGAGACAGCCATGACGGAGAGGCCACCGGAGAGCAGTAGAGGATGTAAGATCAATGAACAGTCTGCCAGAACTGGGGTGAACTGGGATACCTGGATGTCAAAGGGTCAGCGCAGCTTCGTTGTTCTAGGCACGCCATGCACAAAGAGGTACTATATACTTTATTGCTCTCTCAACACTGGATAACTGGCCTAGAAACAGAGTACGACCGAAAATAGTGGAGGACAGGAAATAAAAGGCCACGACATTGGACTATGGAGGTGATATTCTAAGTGAAATGCATGCTCAATAAATTACCTGGATTGAACTCACCCCTTGGACTTATAGGAATACCCCTCTATTGATATGTGCCATTTCCTGCGAACAAAAAATAATCTTTCCTATCAATAGAGGCCAGGGATGAGAGGAGCACATGGCCCTCCAGATGTTGCTGGACTGAAATTCTCACTATCCCCACCACTGGGTACATCTTATGGGATTTGTAGTCCAGCAACATCCCCAGGGACACGTTTTGATGGAGGCCAAACATTTCAGTCTCCACCCAAGCTGTGTGCAAAACAAACAATAGAAATGGTACCAGGGAAAACCAGAAAGGAAGCTTTTTCCTGTTCCAGGGACCCCTTTCTATGAGTGATCTTAATGTGAACATGCTTCAAGCTAGTGATTAGAAGGTGATGCTGCTGATTTAGCATTCGTTAGCACATTCGACACTGCAGAACTACAGCTCAGCCATCTTTGCAAATGGATATTTCCCAATAGGAAGTGTTTATCTCCCTAGAATTGTTAAGACAATGTTTTTCTCTTTGCCATTGTATCTCACCATTGACCCACTGAGAGTGGATCATATTGATTCCGGCCAGGTCTTATATTCACCTGTTTTTAATGCCAGAAATGTCAGGTACCTCCTTGTTTCTCTTGCTTTCCCTGACCCCACTGTGCTAAATGGTGCTGCTCCCCCTTCCCATGCCTATTTTATTTCCCACACCTGCAGAAATGTCCACATTTTGCTAACACATTGAAACATCCTTCCTCAATATTTAACAGAAAAAGGCACTAGTTTTTCAAAATAAGAACTTTCGAACATTTCAGGTTTCTTTTTCTTTTCTTCACTTTTGGTAACCAATATAGCATACCGGCCCATGGACCTGCCAGGTTTGGCTGTGACCAGATAGAAAAAATTGTCAGCTTCTGTCTCTCCTACATTTTTTTTAAAAGGTCAATGCCTTTCCATCCTGAATATGAAGAATCCTCTTAACTTTGGTAAACTATATATCAAAATTGGACTGACACATAATTCTCAACCGTCCCAAGACATTACCATGTGGTTCACTAGGTGTCTCTCTAACCTCGTAATTCTTTTGCTTTGCTTTGGAAGTGAAGCTTGGCGCTTTCTTGGCTAGATGGAGATGTGAGCAAGCCTCTCCTTTCCTCACACCATATCTATTTTGCTCAAACAATAGATACTGGGGGTGAACAGTATGTTTGCTCTGATTCCATGAGACCTTCATAAACAGTTCAGACAAACGCAGGGATTAAAATATCTAACTACTGTACATTCTTTTTAACACAGAGACACAGACGCACACTCACACACAGATAAAGCCTCCATATGCAGGGAAAGTATACCTGCAATTAAAATATCTTAGGGATAAATAAGATGGGATGACTATTCCACCCAAATTCCCTACCTGAGGTATTTGACTGACCACTCTTGGAAATTAGATGAACTCTTGGCTTGATTTCAAATGGTGATTCTTCTATCCTTAAGCAAGTATACAACTTCAGAAGCTTCGGACCTGATTGTGCTTTAATTGTAACACAGTCCAGAGCATGCACTATTGATTTGTAAACTGAAAAGTCAGAAAATGGGAGGTATAATATAAAACAATCACCAACAGCCCTTGGCTACAAAAGCCTAAATACAGCCTAACACTAATTTTGGAGCTCACTATTGGCATCTGACAAAGTGGCTCCTCTAGCTCTAAGAACATGAGCCAAGGCCTATCGAGGCCACCTTTCTATTTCCACAATGGCCAGTCAATTGTCTATGGGAAATCCATAAGCAGGGCAACAGCACAATCATCACCCTGCTTGTGTTCCCCAGAACTGGTATTCAGAGGCAGACTTACCTACGTTAGTGGAGGGAATTTATAGCCAATGTGATTAGTAATTATTGGCAGTTTTTTCCTTAATAAATTTATCTATTATCCTTTTCAAAGCCATCCACAATGAGGTTCATTATTACATCTTATGGTAGCAAATTCCACAATTTAACTATTCCTTGTATAAAATAATTATTTTTATTTACTTTGAGAAGTGACCTTTTTCTTATGAAATACAGTATTTGGGGATAATAGCAGGTGAAATGGACAATAGTATAGTATTCATATAATTCACATAAATATTACGGTACCATGTGCTTTCTGCATTTGTTACATGCCATCAAGTCACCTCTAACTTGTGGTCATCCTATGAATGAATGACCTCCAAGGTGTGTGATTGTCAACCACATTGCACAGTTACTGTAAAGTTAAGGATGTGACTTCCAACTTACATTTGATCTTTCTCATTTCCTGCTGCCGTCAAATATTCCTAACACTATTGTTTTTTCCAGTGAGTTCTGCCTTCTCATTATGTGCCTAAAGAATGACAACTTTGGTTTTGTCATTTTTGTTTCCAAAGTCTAGTCTTGATTTGGTCTAGGACCCACTTGTACATATTTTGGTGATCCAGGGTATTACCTCCAGGGCAATATTTTTAAAAAAATTCAGTCAGCTTTCTTCACTTTCACACCCATACATAGTAATCATTTCTCACTCCATATACATTAAAAGCTTAAGCTGCCACATTAGTTTGCCTGCATGGGAAATTAAAGCAATGGTCCTGTAATCATTGCACTTTTGGCATCTACTTCCTTGCAAACTGAAATGTATATTAAATGTTTATAGTATAGGCCGTTCTTTCATTTTATATATCTGCTGGCACATTCTTGTTAGGATTTTGATAGATTCAGTCTCTGCAGCTTGAAACAGTTCTATCAACATTCTGTCTACCCCTGGTGATTATTTCTGCACATTATGCACAATTTCATGTATCTTTACAGTATCCCCCTTTAAAGCTAAAGTGTCTGTGACCATGAAGCTTATGATACAAAATCTAGTTATCATACAAGGATTGCTCATGGGCGTACATTTACTTTTGATGGTTATGGAAGGACGGAACACTAAAATTACCCAGAAGCTCACAATGAAATTACTGAGTTTTGTATACTGAGCCAAACATGGCAGTAAATTGCTAATTGCATGAAGCCAATTCCTACAGTCATTATGTTTTGTGTTGCCTTGCTATGATTAGCTATAATTGCATGTGTGAGTATAAGCCTAGAAGGTCCTAATCACACAGCCCATCTGAACTGTTTCTTTTCCCTCCTTTATATAAATGTATTTGTATGTATAGTCATGTGGTATATATACCGTTTACATGGCTGTCAGTCCAATCTGTATGTTTCTTGCTATTTGTTCCAGTTCTGTAAGCCAGTGGTCTCCAACCTTTCTGCCTCCAAGGATTGGTTTAGCATGCATGTGGGGGGGGGG